TTGGTTCTTGTTTATAAGCTACCTCCTGAGGGTGGAAGCTGGACTAGTTCTTATTAATACAGTGACTCTGTATTCTTTCCACCTTCTTTTGATGCTTCCTGCATCAGTAAATATTTTGCCATAGAATCTTTCAATATTGCAGCTCAAGGCTTGAATTTTCTCTTGAGTTCCTTCAGTTTAAGATGTGCTGACCATGTTCTTTCCTTTTGGGTTCCTAACTCATGGTCTTTTCATACTGCATCATATTTGGCTTTGTCTTCTTGAGCCACCCTTTAAATTTCTCGATTCAGCTTTGACTTCATTCTTTCTTCAAGTTGCTTTAGCTTCTCTATGATTTAGAGCACGCTTCAGAATCTCTTCTAACCCCCACTTTGATCTTTTCTTCCTTTCCTTGCTTTTTAATGACCTTTTTCTTTCTGCACGAAGGATGTTCTTGATGTCCTCCCACGGCTCATCAGGTCTTCTGTCAGTGTTTATTGCTCAAATCGGTTCTTGAGATGTACTTGAAATTCAGATAGGATAGACTCAAGGCCATATCTTGAATCTGTGGACTTGTTTTAATTTTCTTCAGCTTTATCCCGAACTTACACATAAGCAATTTATGATCTGTTCCAGTTTAGCCCCTGGCCTGGTTTTAGCGCTGAGATTGAGTTTCTCCGTTGTGTTTTACCACAGCTGTAGTCGATTTGATTCCAATGTATTCTATCTGGAGAAGTACACTTGAATATTTGCCTTTTATGTTGTTGAAAAGTTGTATTTGCTATCATTGGATCTCTAATCTCATTTCTGTTACTGAGTGCATATTTTCCAACTACTGTTCCTTCCTCTTTGTTTCCAACTTTTGCATTCCAATAACCAATATTTATCAATGCATCTTGATTACATGTTTGCTGAATTGCAGGCTGAAGTCATTGGTAGAATTCTTGAATTTCTGCATTACAAACCTTTGTGGTTGGTGCATACATTTGAATAATAGTTGTACTGACTAGACTTTCTTGAAGGAGAATAGATATAATCCTATGACAGATAACATTGTACTTCACGATGGATTTTTCAGTGTCCTTTTTGACAATGAATACCACACCATTCCTCTTGATTGTTATTCCCAACAGAGAAAATGATATGACTTTCTGATTTAAAATATTGAGATACAAAGTTTTTAAAAGGGCATGTGAAGACAAACGAAATGTCACAAAAGTGTGATTGGTGTCAGATCACTACAGTATATCACATTATAAGTGGGACCAGTTTTAAAAGATTAATAGTGAAAATAGCAAGTTTCTCCCGACTAGTTTGCCCCCAGAACAGAGGGAACCACACACAAGACAGTAAGACCAAGACAGCATGACAGGTGAGACAGACAGACAGACAAGCGAAGCAACGATTTAATAAGCAAAGTATGCGTTGATCACAAAGTGAGGTCCTTCACAATTCGAGGAAGCTGAAGAGATCTAGGGTATGACATTGGACATTACAGGGGTCTGGTGGCCAGACCTCATGGCTCAACTCAGATCCTTTCCTGCTTGGTGTTGGAATGAGTCATCTGGACATGATTGGTGGAATGCATCATGTGAAGCCATCTGGGATGGATCTTCCAGAACTCTCTAGCTGACCCTGACATGACCAGTAGGATGCGTCAGGTGAGGCAATTTGGGATAGGTTATCCAGTGCTCTAGCTGACCCTGGCACTCCCCGTTCAAACCCCAAGAAGCTATTAATATAGTTGCTGTCTCTGTAGATTTACCTACTCTGGATTTCATATAAAGAAAAACATACAAAGACAAAAAGCAAGAACAACTAACAAAATAAAACACTGGAAACCATTTTGAAAGAATGTTCAGTTACATGGAACAATGATTAAGTAAAAAGAGCAGATCTCAAAATAAAATGAGTGCCTTGATTACTTTTGGCTAATTAGAAGAAATAAAAACAGCAAAGTTTTCAATTAATCTCCACCTCTTGCTGAATTTAGCCCGAGGTACAATTGCCCCTGAATGAGAGCTTCAGTTGTGAGCACTAGGTGTGGAAAGTTGTCTGGTAGCTCAGTGGATTATGCACACATGTTGCTGATCAAAAGGTCTACAGTTTCAACTCACCATCCCCTCCCTCCTTGAGAGAAAGATAAGCTGTCCCCTCCTGTGAAAAATTTAAAGTCTTGGAAACCCAAAAAGGGCAGCAGTTCTTCTCGGCCCTGTGAGATGGAGTCGACTCCATGGGAAGGAGCTTGAATTCTGAGAGGTTCACAGTGGGAACCCCAAATCCATTTTTGAGTCGCTACAAAGATTCAGTCTCCATTGAATGTTTTCTGCTTTTAACCCGGAAATGTGAAAAATTTTGCCCTCTGGCAGAGTGTGTTTGAACAAGGATTGGGATTACTTCCCTAGACAGTCTAGGGAGGGACAAGCTCACGATGAGGGACTTGCCTATGCCCTTGATGGATTTTAGGGTGTATGATCTTGAGTCAGACCCTAATTGCCTTGGTAAGAAGGCCCTAAACCAATCTTGTAAGCTTTTTTTTTTTTTTAATCTGCAATAGTGTATGCAGCCCAAGCATGGTCCCATTCCCACTTCCACAGTCCCACCTGCACTGCAATGAATTGATCTGCTGCCCATCGTTTAGTGCCCCTTTCCCTGGTACCCTATGTCCTATTTGAGATCTAATTCTGTAACTCCATATGGACTCATGCTGAGGTCTCCTTCCTCTGGATGATTTGTCTTTGTCTTATTCTAAGACTTAGTGTATCTCTATAAACAACATTTAAATTTGTGGTCCTTCCTCTCTCTTAAACCCTGGTGGCATAGTGTTTACTCATTGGGCTGCTAATCCCAAGGTCAGCTAATTCAAGGTGGTTTGACCAGCTAATTCTCAGGAGAAAGATGGGGCTTTCTACTCCCATAAAGAGTTTCAGAAACTCAAGGGGGCAGGTGTACCCTGTCCTATAGGGTCACTAAGAAGGGGCATCCACTGTATGTCAGTGAGTTTTGAGTTTTTCTCTACCGGAACAAATTTTTCTCCTAGAAAAATGTACTGTAATTGGCGTTCTAGTTTTATCTTTAGCATTCAGATTTGTATAATCTTGGGTAAATCATTTTATTTTCAAGCCAAACCCAATCCAATGTCATAGAGTTGATTCTGACTCAGAGGATGTCATCAATCATTAATCTGTCTTTTGTGACCATTATTCCTATCGAGGTCAATTTTCCTCTTTCAAATAGTGTTTCTGACACTATTTATACGGGAGCAGGCAGCTGCATCCTTCTTTCACAGAGTGGGCTGCTGATCCAGCAGTTAGTAGCTCACTGCCACTAGTGCTTCTCAGAGCTCACTGCCAATGAGTAAATTCTGAGGTAATAAAGGGGGTTGGGATAATCCAAGACATTCTGCCTTGTGGCAAGATTATCTACATCCTTGGTTAATGATCAAAAAGAATTTAATGGAGTCAACCTATTTAGGGACCCTACGAATGGATTTGAGGTTGTCACTGTCATCCGTAGCATTTTGCAAACTGGGGTACTCAGAATTTAAGCTCAAATACCCCTTAAACATTAGTGTACCACTGATCGTTAGGGATTCTGAGATTGTAAATCTTCACAGGGGCAGACAGCCACACCTTTTCCCATGGAGCAGAATGGTCAGTAGTTTTGAACTACTGGTCTTGCAGGTAGCCCTATGTGTGACCCTTTGCACCAACAGGGTCATTTTTTAATACTGACATTAAGATCATCTTCTTTTTACATTTTTAAAAAGTTTTATTGAGCTGATTGATATGACATACAATAGTTTAAACATATTGAAAAGAGTTATGCAATCATCACCACAATCTATTGTAGAACCTTTTCTTCGTTTTCATACTCCGTATGTGTCGAAAGTCAGAGCTGCTGGGTTTTCCATTTGTTAAGAGGTCAGCTTATTTGGGAGAGCTTGTTTTCCTTTCAATTTTCTATAAACGAAGTTTGAGTCATCACAGCTCGACTCATATTACAGAGGATGTCATCAACCATGAATCTGTCTTTTGTGACCATTATTCCTATCGAGGTCAATTTTTCTCTTTCAAAACCAAAATGGCATCAAGATTTGATTCTTTGATCAATTCCCAGTAACATGTTTTACTATGTAATAGTTGAACCACTGACAATTTTATTTTGTGATACTAATCTTGTTTGAGTCAGTAATACATACATTTTCAAGAAAACCAAGCTTTCTCAGGTCTCTTTCTTGGGGAGAAGGGCTACAAGGACTTTTAATATGTGCATTTTTTTAAGGCTGTCAACTTTCCTTATTACACATACCAGTATTATGAACTGGTATTAGATTTCCCCCACCCACTCCCGCCCCGCCCATGTTTTATAGGGGCAACAGCACAAAGACGTGGCGCTGCAGGGTTAGTAATCTCTCCTTTTCTTCTTTGAAAAGATGGTCTCCAACACTCAGACAGAGTACAGAATCTTAATTATTAAGTTTAATCAGCCAGGGCCCGCTAAAGTTGGTCTCTCTGAATCAGTCCCTCAAACACAGACGGCCAAGGGCTGCTTTTTCTCTTCCTGTCCACCAGAGGTGATAGCCTTTTTCAAATCAGAACTTGGACTAGACGAAGCAGGTGTGACAGAGGCCGGAAGTAAGGTGAAAGGTTAAAACCCGCCTCAAAGAGCAAAGGTTAATACCCGATTCTCAAGGAGATCTAAAGCTTTCATAGTTCCCCAAAGATGAAATGGACACCTGCCGAATATACTGTGGAGGACTAAAAGCGCGCGGCCTCCCCGAGTACAAACGATGCCCAGGTAATAAATACGAAGAAAGGAACTGACGGCGACCGGAAGTGGAAGTCAGCCCAGGGCGTGGGGTGAGGAGAGGAGGCGGCACGCCTGCGCACTCGGCAAGGGGCGCAGTGCGCATGCGCAGGTGGGCGGTGCCGGGTGACGCTCCGAGCGTGGGCCGGCGCTCTTGCGGATCCGGTTCCGCCCTCCCTCCCGCTTGCAGATCCTGGAGGGGCGAGCGCTGGACATCCCTTTCCCAGAGTGCTCTGCGCCGTGAAGAAGCGACTCCCGGCGGCTGGGGGCATTTTGTGTTGGCTGGAGCTGGAGGGACAAGATGGCGGCGTCGGCGGAGTGACAGGGGTCCCCTCCGGGCGGGAGCCGGCGACAGGGCCTAAGTCACCGCGCCCTCTTCCCTGCCAGCGACGCGTCGCCGCGAGAGCGAGGCCACGGCGGCCGCCCAGAGGCTAGCGGCCCCGTCTAGTAGCCGCGAGCGTCCCTTCTCAAAACTGCGGCCTGGCAGAAAGCAAGCTGACGGATCGGCGGCGATCGAGTTTCTCCAGGCGATCCTGTGCCCTGTGACGCCGAGGAAGGGCCTCCTCCGTGTCCTGCCGCCCTCCGCAGCCTTGCCCCGTGGACCAGTCCCAGAGGCCCCCGCACCCCCTTTGTAGGTGTCGGGGCTTGGCCCCAGCCCTCCCTCTTCGACTCCCAGGATGGCGAGCAGCAGCGGCTCCAAGGCCGAATTCATCGTCGGAGGGAAATACAAACTGGTCCGGAAGATCGGGTCCGGCTCCTTCGGGGACATTTACCTGGCGATCAACATCACCAACGGCGAGGTAAACCACCTGGGGTGGGGCTCGTGAGACTGTTGCCTCCTGCCTCGCCATCCCCCGGCCTGCCCGGCCTCCTCCCCGCACGCACACCCCGGGGAGCCCCCCTGGGGGTGCCACTTTTCCTCGCGTGGGAACCTCCCCCGCTCGCTTTCCCTAGAAGGGAAAGAACTCGAGAGAGGAATGGGGTGAACTGCGAAGTTTCCCAACATGTAGAATGCCCTTTCATCGAACTTGAAAACCATTACCACCCCCTCACCCCCAAAGAAAAGCCATCGCTTAAAGTGAGAAAGGCAGAAACTCTGTTTTTTTGGCTTTCCCGTGCATACGTGTCATGAAATATACATATTTGGGTGATTTTACTGGGGTCCTTGTTCCAATTAGGGCCGTTTTCGGATTGCTGGGTTCCTTCCGGACCTCGCAGGACGTCCCGAGGGGCCCCTCTGTCTGGAAGGAACCTTTCCCTGCGCTTAGAGGGCAGCACGATGGCGTCACTGCGCCCGAGGCTGGTCGCTTGGTTGGTCGTGACCGAATCCCGGCGAACTTTCTCTTCCCGACCTTTCCCTGCACCCGGTGGTCGCGAGTGGCTGCCCTCCTTTTCCCGAGGGGCCCCGAGTGCGGAGCAGGGCCGGTGCCAGCACCCCCTCTTTCCCTTGCAGGAAGTGGCAGTGAAGCTCGAGTCTCAGAAGGCCAGGCACCCCCAGTTGCTGTACGAGAGCAAGCTGTATAAGATTCTGCAAGGCGGGGTCGGCATCCCGCACATACGGTAAGAACCCTCGAGCGGTCGGTCCCCGAGGTGGGGGCGTCCTGGGACCCCCGAGTCCCCCCCCCGGGGGGGGGGCTTGTCGTTCGGTTACTCGGTTGCCTACTGTTGGGGCTCACCGTGAGCCCCCGCCATCACCGAGCCCCTTTTACGTTGCCAGCGCAGTTTACTTAGCGCGTCGGTCTGGTCGGCGCCGGCCGGGGCTTTCATTTGCAGCGAGACGTGCCAGTCACTTCTGACTCCGGCGCGGCGCGGCTCCGCGGCGGCCCCTCTGCGGTTCCGTTTGTCCGGCGGAGGCGCCCGGGAGACCTGGCTCAGCCAGCTCGGGCCGCTGTTGGAGCGGACTTGGGGAAATGGCTGCTCTTTTGTTGTGTTTTTGTTCCAACATGTCTTCCTCCTCCGCTTAGAAAATGGCGGAGCGACGTGACTCACCCCATTTTCCTGCCCTGTCCTTGGCTGAGGTTCACAAGTCTTGCTTCCTTGATGCCCCGTTAGCAGCCCCGAGTGGATTTGAACGGAGAAAAGCCGAGAATACAAGCTGCGGGAGGCCTTGGGTTCTAGGAAGTAGATGGCATAATGACGGCCTGTGTCTGATCCCTGCAGCAGATGCGACGCGAAATTGTCACATTATACTGAGCATAATCTTTCCTCTTCCTCTCAAGGGCGTTAATTACCCTTCCCTTTCATCAATTTTAGCTTTGGGTGCATTTCACTCTGTACTGCATTTTCATGGGCTGCAGCAAAGGCAGCTTGAGTAATAACAATGTTGAAATTTACCCACATCTATTGTGTTAAAGGAAAGGTTAACCACTGGAGCACAGTTTGAGAAGTAATTTTAACCCTGTGAGTTAACTAATCAGTAAAACATCGTGGGAGGGAAATCAGTGGACTTGGTGGGGGGATATGGGATGGTGGTGAAGCCAAGTGCTGGTAGTAATCAAGGTAGAAGACTCAATTAAAAAAGAACCACGTTAAAGTGTCTTCCGAGGTTAACTTCGAAGGGCACTGGAACAGTTTGACCCTGAGATGAAAGACAGAATAAAGACTGAAAGATAGTGTAAAACCCAGCCATTTTCAACAGTTACACAAATAACATTTCAAAAAGATCAGCGCTGGTTGAGAATTAAATGGAATATTTATCCGTATTCTTTTTTTCTACTTCATTTTTTTCTTCAAGCCTTGGTTTAGGGACTTGATTTACTACATACGTTTATTTTATATGAAATCAACTAGAGTTACCCTATCCTCAGACATTTTTAATGGCAAAATTCATTAATAAAAGTATTGTTTATAAGTGAGCAAGGAAATTATTTTATAGAAAAATCTTAAGTTTTATGAGGGAAAGATTAATGTGCATCCTAACATCCAGATTTAGGATTCTGAATGATTTATACCTATGAAAAAAATCTTAATGGGAAAGTAATTTGTTACAGTGGAAGAATTAAAATTTTGATGAGCCTATCTAGCTTTTTCCTCAACATGAAAAATGTGAATGAAATTAACAAAGTGATTTACAGGTTAGAGGCCTGATAGGCAGGGTTGTTTAAGTAATATATTTGAAATGATGCATCATTTCGATTAATTGAAGTTTCAACAAAGGTCATAAAGAATTCTTTTTCTTTTTTAAGTTGCACTTTCATCTCCACAGGCTTTTTATAAAGGCATTTTTGTAATATTAATTGTAGGACGCTCAGCATTGTAGTTATAGTTTCTTTTGAATGTGCTGAAAGATCATCTTTTGTTGGATTCAGATTGGAATGGAGCCTTTCAGTATAGAATAATTTTATACTTTGATCACAGTATATCTTCGTATTTAGTGGTTTTTAAATAAGATGCTTAGCCAGGTTCATTGATGCACAATTTTGTTCAATTGTTTTATTAGGGGCTCATACAACTCTTATCACAATCCATACATACATCAGTTGTGTAAAGCACATTTGTACACATTGATGCTCAATTTGTTAGATACAATGACACCTTTCCTAGTTAACAGTGTACACCCTGTAACCACCAAGACAGTCAAGATCTGGAATGGTTCCATCATTCCTGAAAGTTCCCTCCTCTTTTGTATTCCATCACATCGCCCCAGCCCTGACCGGGACAACCACTGGTTTGCTTTTCATTACTATTAGAATTTCATATAAATGAAATCATGTAGTATGAGGTCTTTATGCCAGATTTTAACATAACACAATGCTTTTGAGATTCAACTACAGTGGGTGGGGGGAAGTTATACATTTCACAAGTTGGGTTGAGTTGAAATCATTTTCTAAAAGCATTAAGTGCTTATCTGGCATTTCTAGTGCTGAGCCCCAAATTTAAGTACTTGCTCTTTTTTCTGGTAGCTTTATTAAAGAAGGGCAACGGTGATAAAAATTAACAAAGGCAATGGTTCTTATCTTGAATAAGTATACAGTGAACCCTCGCCACTTCGTGCTTTGACTTCCGCGGCTTCACTCTATCGCGGTTTTTGCGTAACAGCGCATGCTCTGTCATTACTGCCACTGATTGGCTCATACTGTACACGCTTGATGCCATAAATAATATAATAATTATTATATAATAATTGTAACCTCCAAAATGTTTTACTGTATTTTCCCTTTTTCATTTAATAAATTGGGTAATACGAGTGTAATGGTGACTAAAGGGTGTTTTTTCATGTCCTCTGTGCTCTAACTATGAAAATATTTGATTTACAAATAAGGAATCCTACTTCGTGGAATTTCATTTATCACAGTAGGGTCTAGAACCGATTAACCGCGATAAATGAGGGTTCACTGTATGTGAAATTAACTTGAGCTGAATAGTAGATTTCTATTCTAAGATGGTGAGTGAAAGGAAGTACAGTAGTTAAGAACTGTTTATGGGGTAGGGCTAAAGAGATTTACCTGCCTTCTAATTGAGGCTTCCTGGGAGAGTAGATGGGATTTCGGGATCTGGCTCTAAGAAGCTTGGTGATCTGGTTAGGAAGGACATCCAAGAATAGAGTGGGTTCTGGGAGTAGTCTTCTCTAAGGCAGAATTGTACTAACTGGATATGGGAGGGGGAAGGGAGTACAACGTCAGGTATATAGAAAGTTGTTCATTGGTTGTAAAGAACTATTGTTCCTTTACTGCAATGGGTAAGAAATGCCTGGAAGCATTCTTTATATGGGAGGCAATATCTTTGCACGTGCCCAGTTTATTCCCCGCTGTTTCCTCATCCCCTGTACAAATGCAGGCATACCTTGCTTTATTGCGCTTTACTGATGGTGCATTGTTTTACAAACTGAAGGTTTTTGCTATAATCCTGTATGGAGCAAGTCTAGTGGGGCCATTTTGTCCTCAGCATGTGCTCACTTGGGATGCCTCACATTTTGGTAATATAAAAAATATTTCAAACTTTTAAATAATGCTATTGCACACTTAATAGTTACAGCATATTTAATAGTTTTAGTATAATGTCAAGATAACTTTTATATGCACTCAAAAACTCACCAGAACTCACTGTCATGGAGTTGACTCCTGCAGGGTCACCTTAGAGGACCATAGAACTGACTGCCCTCGTGGGTTTCAGCGATTAACTTTGCACCTCTTTCTCCCTCACTGCAGCTGGTGGCCTCCAACTGGTAATCCTGTGATTAGCAGCCCATTGCGTAACCAAAACAATCTGTGTGGCTTGCTTTATTGCAGTGGTCTAGAACCAAGTCGTGTACACACACCCAGTTGCAGCGAGTCCCCTTCATCGCCTCATGCATAGAGTATACCTGTGCTCCTTGGCTTCTCGGTGGCTGATAATCTTGTGAGTACATTGCCAGGTCTTCCCAAGTGTCACCTCAAGTGTTACTATTAGTTGAAGTTCATTTGATGACAACAAACAACGCTTTACACATCTCACATCTCCCCCACTCCAATTTCCCGAACCTCTTTCCTCTCACATTTTTTGTTTAAAGGAATTGCTTTACTTACAATACTTTGGGTTTATTTGGTCTTCATAGCAGACATGCTTGATCGTGTAGCGTGTAGGTCTTTGACCTGTAATTTGAAGAACCTATAGAAGAGAACTCGGGCTGTCTGGTAGGATTTGCAGCCTTGGAAATGCAAGGCTGTGGGTCAGAATTGATTTGATAGCAGGGTTCTTTGATGGTGACACAATGGTTAAGTGCGTGGTTTTTAACCAAAAGTTCAAAACTCTTTTCAAACCCACCAGTAGCTCAGCAGCAGTAAGCGCGTCTCCATTTGCATTGCCTGGCATTTTGTTTAAAAAGTAGGAATGAAGTTGGCATCCAGTCTTGACTTCGAGAGATTAAAATCCTTGGACCTGTGAATTGACAACTGGGAGTTCACTGAAAATTAGTGTTTGCCACTCTGAATTAATGCATTCTATAAAGAAGCAATTATACAGCCAAAAAAGGACGCGTTAGACAGCCAAGTGTTGGAGATTTGAAATGTAAGTCTGCCATGTGGGTGATCTGTGTTTGGTGTTTTAACCTGATTGAGCCTATCAGTTTCCTTTTCTACAAAATAAATGATTTAAGTGAGTTGGTAATTTTCTAAATCTCCTGGGGTGGGATAGGGTGGGAAAGGAGACTGACCAGAAAGGGCTGTTTCCTACCCCCTCGCAGGACAAAGACCCGTTACCGTTTGCAAGTAGAGATTTTGGATAGGGTTTTTATATGAACAGTTTTCTGCTTAAAACCAAACTCCCTATCATCGAGTACATGTCAACTCCTAGCAGGTCTATATGACAGAGTATAACTGCCTTTGTGAATATCTGAGGCTGTAAATCTCTTGTTGAAATTTATTTAAATCATTTTATTGGCTCGTACAACTATCACAATCCATGCATTGGTTGAATCAAGCATGTTTGTACATATGTTGTCCTTATTTTCTTTTACATTTACTTACTATTGGTTGAGGCTGTAACTTTATTTATTTATTTATTTGAGGCTGTAAGTCTTTACAGGGGCAGAAAACCTCATCTTTTTTCCAAAAAGTGGTTGGTGGGCTTGAACTGCTGAGCTT